GCGGAGGAGAAAGGAAACCTTTAGTAGTCTGTCATTTATTTAGTCCTTTTTTTGCATTCTGCTGTCAGCTCCGTGCTAGACAAAGTACAGGGCTCTATTAAAATGAATAAATTTGTTCCCTGCCCTCAGACGCGTTCCTGGATGATGGAGAAACAACTTAGCTTCGGGTGTTAGGAGCCTTAATGAGAGGATACTAGTCTAGCGGGGGCAGAAGAGAAGAGCTTTTTAGAGGGTAGAATAACTGACTTGTCTTATAAAACCTGTAGGAACTGGGGGTGCGTAGGTAGGTATAGAATCAGGAGCTCAGCCTGCGCATTGATAGGTGCGAAAAATAAGGCCATCTTCCTCAGCTACTTATATTCTGCCTATATTCATCCCTACCCATTTCCTCTTATTTGTCCATTTAGCTGTTTTTTCTTTTTGCTTTCAGACGACGTATCGCTTTGTTGCTCAGGCTGGAGCGCAGTGGCGCGATCTTGGCTTATTGCAACCTCTGCCTCCAGGATTCGAGCGATCTTCCTACCTCAGCCTCCAGAGTAGCTGGGACCATGGACGCGAGCGAGCACCACCGCTGGCTAATTTTTTTTCTGAAACAGAATTTCACTCTTGTTGCCCAGGCTGGAGTGTAATGGGGCAATCTCAGCTCACTGCAACCTCTGCCTCCCGGGTTCAAGTGATTCTCCTGCCTCGCCTCCTGAGTAGCTGGGTCTACAGGCGGGCACCACCACACCCAGCTAATTTTTTGTATTTTTAGTAAAGATGAGGTTTCACCATGTTGGCCAGGCTGGTCTCGAACTCCTGACTTCAGGTGATCTGCCCACCTCGGCCTCCCAAAGTGCTGGGATTACAGATGTGAGCCACTACACTGGCTGTTTTTTTTTTTTTTAGATGGAGTTTCGCTCTTGTTACCCAGTCTGGAGTGCAATGGCGCCATCTCTGCTCACCGCAACCTCCGCCCCCTGGGTTCAGGCAATTCTCCTGCCTCAGCCTCCTGAGTAGCTGGGATTACAGTCACACGCCACCGTGCCCAGCTAATTTTTTTTTGTAATTTTTAGTAGACGGGGTTTCACCATGTTGACCAGGATGGTCTCGATCTGCCGACCTCGTGATCCACCCGCCTCGGCCTCCCAAAGTGCTGGGATTACAGGCTTGAGCCACCGCGCCCGGCTTCACTGGCTGTTTTTTTTTTAAAAGAAGATCTCACTGTTGCCCAGACTGGAGTGCAGTGCATGATCACGGCTCACTGTAGCCTTGATTTCCTGTGTTCAAACGATCCTCCCACCTCAGCCTTCCAAGTAGCTGAGACCACAGGTATCTGCCAGCACACTAGGCTAATTTTTTAAAGAGATTTGTTGGGCTGGGCACTGTGGCTCACGCCTGTAATCTCAATACTTTGGGAGGCCAAGGTGGGAGGATTACTTGAGGTCAGGAGTTTGAGACCAGCCTGACCAATATGATGACACCTCGTCTCTACTAAAAATAAAAAATTTAGCCAGGTGTGGTGACATGTGCCTGTAATCCTCCCTACTCAGGAGGCTGAGACAAGAGAATCACTGGAACCCAGGAGGAGGGGGTTGCAGTGAGCTGAGATTGAGCCATTGTACTCCAGCCTGGGCAACAAGAGCAAAACTCTTGTCTCAAACAAACAAAAATAGAAGAAGAAAAAGAAATTTGTTGTAGAGACGGGGTCTTGCCATGTTTCCATAGTCTTAAACTCCTGGGCTCAAGCAATCTCCCTCCTCAGCCTACCAAAGTGCTGGGATTACAGGGATGCACCCCACACCTGGCAACATGGCAAAACCCTGTCTCTACAAAATACAAAAATTATAATAATATTAAAAATTAGCTGGCCAGTCTCAGTGGCTCACACCTGTAATCCCAGCACTCTGGGAGGCCAAAGTGGGCGGATCAGCTAAGGTCTGGAGTTCAAGACCCACCTAATCAAGGAGAAACCTCATCTTTACTAAAACTACAAAATTAGCCCAGTGTGATGTGGCATATGCCTGTAGTCCCAGCTACTTGGGAAGCTGAGGCAGGAGAATCACTTGAACCCGGAAGGTGGATGTTACAGTGAGCCAAGATTGTGCCATTGCACTCTAGCCTGGGCAACAAGAGCAAGACTCCATCTCAAAAATAAAAAAGACAGCTGGATAGGAGGTTGATCCTTTTGGTAAGACTATAGATTGCATTATATTCTTGCATCAAGAGCCAAAGTAAGCCGTCTTTTTGCCCTTTTTGCTATGTTAGCAGCCATTTAATGCCTAGACCAATGGATTAATTGGGGGTTACAAAATAGTGGTACTCTAATTTTGTCAATTATTTTTCAAATTAGGTGGCCTATGCTCAGGAAGAGTCCCTTGTCATCATCTTCTATTTAGTTACCCAGTGGTAAAATTCACATATGAGAGGCAGGATACATTTAAAAATTTTTCCCTTTATGAGCTTTCAAGATTGACTTCTCTCTCTTTTTTTTTTTTTTGAGATGGAGTCTTGCTTTGTCGCCCATGCTGAAGTGCAGTGACACCATCTTGGCTCACTGCAACCTCTGTCACCCAGGTTAAAGCAATTCTCCTTCCTCAGCCTTCTGAGTAGCTGGGACTTCAGGTGCACACCACTACGCCCAGCTAATTTTTGTATTTTTAGTAGAGATGGGGATGTTGACCAGGCTGGTCTTGAACTTCTGACCTCATGATCTGCCCCGCCCCCCCCACCTTGGCATCCCAAAGTGCTGTGAGTATGGGCCTGAGCCACTGCACCCAGCCCACAGGTGCACTTTTAATGTTATGTACTCAACTGTCTTTTAGGATTTCCAGAATATTCTATAACGTACACCCCATAGTTTATTTAAATATTCTCAAACTGAACATTTTCTTCCGATATCTGTATTAAGTCTTTGCCACACTTATGTGAAAATTTCCGTAGGCTAGAGTCCTACAAGGGTCAGAATGTTAAAGTAGGTAGCTAGTTAGATGTGAGTAGGGCAGGAGACGGCTCCCCATCCCACACACACCAGGAGTATTGGGTGACCACCAAATGACGGACAGGCAGTTGTAAACTGTTTCTCTAATGTTCACTGTAGCCAGAGAAAGGCAGCCTCCTAATAGAAAACAGCTGAAACTGATCAGCAGCTTCCCAATAAGAACTCAGGAGTGGGGAGAAGCAATCTGAGTTCCTGAAATTATGCCAACATATAAAACTTCAAGTCAGGCTAGGGGCGGTGGCTCATGCCTGTAATCCAAGCACTATGGGAGGCCGAGATGGGTGGATCATCTAAGGTCAGGAGATCAAGACCAGTCTGGCCAACATGGTAAAACCGAGTCTCTACTAAAAAAAAATACAAAAATTGGCTAGGCCTGTGGCTCACACCTGTAATCCCAGCACTTTGGGAGGCCTAGGCAGGCAGATCACTTGAGGTCGGAAGTTCCAGACCAGCCTCACAAACATGGTGAAACCCCTGTCTCTACAAAAACTACAAAATTTGCTGGGCGTGGTGGCACATTCCTGTAACCCCAGCTACTCAGGAGGCTGAGGCAGGAGAATTGCTTGAACCCGGGTGAACCTGGGAGGTAGAGGTTGCAGTGAGCTGAGATCGTGCCATTGCACTCCAGCATGGGCAACAAGAGCGAAACTTTCTCAAAAACAAAAAAACAAAAATTAGCCAGGTGTGGTGGCAGGCGCCTGTAATCCCAGCTATTCCAGAAGCTAAGAGAACTGCTTGAACTCAGGAGGCAGAGGTTGCAGTCAGATTGAGCCATTGTACTCCAGCCTGGGTGACAAAACCAAAACTCTGTCTCAAAAAAACCTCAAGTCAAGAGGTCAAGATGGGCACTTGGTTTCTCAAGTCACCTGCTTGGTCGTCTTCCAAGTTGTACTTTCCTCCTTTTCTTTCCTTTCCTTCATGTTCTAAAGCCTTTTCATAAACTTTTACTCCTACTGTAAAACTTGCCTAGGTCTCTGCTGCCTTATGCCGTGTATGGAATTGTTTCTTCTGAGGAGGCAAGAACTGCTCAGAAGAAACGAGTTCTTTCTTCTGCTGACCCCTACCTCTACACCGGCTAACTGCCACCACTAACAGGAAGGGGAGACTCGGGCTGGGCATGGTGGCTCACGCCTGTAATCCCAGCACTTTGGGAGGCCGAGGCGGGTGGATCACGAGATCAAGAGATCGAGACCATCCTGGTTAACATGGTGAAACCCTGTCTCTACTAAAAATACAAAAATTAGCTGGGCATGGTGGCTTGTGTCTGTAATCCCAACTACTCAGGAGGCTGAGGCAGGAGAATTGCCTGAACCCGGGTGAACCCGGGAGGTAGAGGTTGCAGTGAGCTGAGATCGTGCCATTGCACTCCAGCCTGGGTAACAAGAGCGAAACTCCGTCTCTCAAAAAAAAAAAAAAAAAGGTGGAGAATCAGCTTTTTTTTTTTTTTTTTTTTTTTCCTTTAGACAGAAAAGTCTGTTCCCCCGCTGGAGTGCAGTTGGGCGATCTCGGCTTACTGTAACCTCCGCCTCATGGGTTGAAGCGATTGGCCTGCCTCAGTCTCCTCTGTAGTTGGGATTACAGGCGCGTCACCACGCTGGGTTAATTTTTGTATTTTTAATAGAGACGGGGTTTCTCCATGTTGCCCAGGTTGGTCTCGAACTGCTAACATCAGGTGATCAGCCCGCCTCGGCCTCCCAAAGTGCTGGGATAAACACATGCGCCACAGCACCCGGGCGAGAATCAGCTTTTCTTTCACATCTGATCTTTCCGTGTGTTCAGTCAGAGGGAAGGCACCGCGGGCTGATAATCACAGGTCCGTGGAGCCTCCCTTTTCTCCCCGGCCTAGCGCGCACTCTTTTCTCTGTTTCGCAAGTGCTGTGTTTGCGAGTCCCCCCATCACTCTAGTATCAAAACCGCCTGGATTTTTGCTTCCACTTCCCTCCCGGAAACGGCGGGACATTAAAGACCGGCGTTTCCTCCGCAGAGGGGGCGGGGCCGGAAAGGCGTCGCGTCGCGGTCCCGAGCTGATGACGTCAAACGTCGTGTGTTCACCCACGTGTGCTGCAGCTCTCTCGGTGTCGGCGCTAGAGTCGAGGGCGCCTTTCCTAGGGGCGTAGTCGGTGGTTGCTCGGGCACTGGGGCCTCGGCGACTTGGGGACGTTGGCCGTGAAGCAGAGAGCGCAGGTGGCCGCTCGGGGTGAGGGCCCTGGGTCATGGAGCACTTCTTGATGGAGGTGGCGGCCGAGCCGCTGCGGTTAATCGCAGCCAAGAATGAGAAGAGCCGCAATGAACTGGGCAGGTTCCTGGCCAAGCAGGTAAGACGAGAGAAGGAAGAAGGAAAGCACCGGACCGACCGAGTCGCCCCCATCGCAGGCTTCCTGCCCTGCCCCGCCGAGACTCTCCGCTTTAAGTGGGGAGTGGTGCGGCCTCCGGTCAAGCTGGCCCCCTCCTCTGAGCTCGCGGGTCTTGGAGGTTTCCTAGTGTCTTTGAGGCGATTGGATGGAGTCTTTTGTTTTTATCTGGGGGAGCCTTCTAGTACCCTTCCCACCGTCCCTCAACCCCTGCAAGCGCTTTGGCTGAGTGTGGCAGAAGTGGCCTTCCCAAAGGAATATGGTTTTTCTGAAATTGGGGTTGCTTTTCTGCCGTTTTGACACGTGTACTTATTACCTAAGTGTGCGTAGTCCAGCCACTCCTGTTTGGGTGAACCATTGACGAGTCTTGATTGAATTCTTGCTGTAAGGGACGGGATGGGGCTGTGAGAAAGTGGATAAATTCGTTACGATCTCTGCCATGAGGGAAATTTGCATCTATTTTTGGAGACAGTTCGTCAACACTTAAAACAGCTGAAGAGCAAAGCAAGAGACCGAATGCTAACTGTAATTAACCATACAAATAATGAGGTGAACTAGAGTTTTCTGGGAAATGGGTCATCGGGCTCTTAAGAACCTTTTCGTTGACTCCCTCTACCTGAGTTGACTCTCTCTTATCACACATCTTTTCAATTTGTTTTAATTTTCCATTTTATGCTTCCCCACCCCCGGCCTATTATATACGTTTTTAGAAACTCTGACTTACTGAAATGTAAGAACCAACCACTCATGTACATTTTGAGAATTTTATAGTAATGTTACCGACCTAAGAAGTTACTAGAAAGTTAGTTGGTATAGGCTGGGTGCAGTGGCTCACACCTGTAATTTCAGCACTTTGGGGCCGGACCTGGTGGCTCACGCCTGTAATCCCAGCACTTTGGGAGGCCGAGGCGGGTGGATCACGAGGTCAAGAGATCGAGACCATCCTGGTCAACATGGTGAAACCCCGTCTCTACTAAAAATACAAAAAAAAAAAAAAAATTAGCTGGGCATGGTGGCGCGTGCCTGTAATCCCAGCTACTCAGGAGGCTGAGGCAGGAGAATTGCCTGAACCCAGGAGGCGGAGGTTGCGGTGAGCCGAGATCGCGCCATTGCACTCCAGCCTGGGTAACAAAAGCGAAACTCCGTCTCAAAAAATTAAAAATAAAAAAAAAATAAATTAAATTAAAAAAATTAAAATCAGCACTTTGGGAGGCCGAGGCAGGCAGATCATCTGAGATTGGGAGTTCGAGACCAACCCCACCAACATGGAAAAAATCCGTTTCTACTAAATACACAAAATTTGAAACAGAGTCCCACTCTGTCACCCAGGATGGAGTGCAAGATTTACTGACTGGCAATTGGTTGAGAGTTTATTTAAATCCCTGGAATCAATAGAACGCAGTGTCTGGGTTAAGATAGGGATATGGAGACCAGGGTTCAAACAACTGTCCCACTTCATCCTCCCAAGTACCTGGAACTAATTTTGTATTTTAATAGAGACGGGGTTTCACCTTGTTGGTTGGGCTGGTCTCGGACTCCTGACCGCTGCCATGCCTGGTCTTTCCTGAAGTGTTTTTTTTTTCCAGTTTTTTGAGACGGATTCTAGCTCTGTAGCCCAGGCTGGAGTGCAGTGGCACGATGTCGGCTCACTGCAACCTCTGCCTCCCAGGTTGAAGTGAGTCTTCTGCCTCAGCCTTTCGAGTAGCTGGGACTACAGGCACGCACCACCACACCCAGCTAATTTTTGTATTATTAGTAGAGACAGGGTTTTACCATCTAGGCCAGGTTGGTCTCCAATTCCTGACCTCGTGATCCACCAGCCTAGGCCTCCCAAAGTGCTGGGATTACAGGTGTGAGCCATTGAGCCCGGCCTCCTGAAGTGTTTTTTTGATGTGTCTCCAGCCCAATTGTTCTGGGAGGGGGGCAATTTTGCTCCCAGGGACAAATCTGGAGACCTTTATGGTTCACAACTGTTCATTATGGGGGTGCTACCAGCTTCTGCTGCATTAGTGCCTGTTATGTGTGGGACAACTCCCTACAACAGAGTTATCCATCACAAGTGGCAGTGGTGCAAAATTAAGGAAGAAATCCTGCGCAGCCTGGTTTTTTACTCTCTGCTCAGGGCTTGCTACTTCAGCAACACTGAGCTTTCTGCAATGACCACAGGTTGTTACCCTCTACTGTTGACTGGAGTCACCTCCTGTTGTTAACCTCTGTTGTTAACGTCTCGGTCATCCATTGCTATTAATTGCCTCATTGATTTTGCATTTCCTTTCCTTTGAAGATTGCATCTCTGCTGTGGCCTGCTCAGTTAACTTATTTGTTCTGGAAGACTGCATTTGGAATGGTCTTCCCCAGGAAGATTCTCTGACTTTCTCCTTTCCTTTTCCTCTTACCCTTTGTTTCAACTAACTGATGCTCACTATTTGATTGAGAGTGTGCCAACAGAAGGGACTGTGTAGCTGTAGTGTCTAGTACAGTGTCTGATACGCAGCAGGCAGGCAATGTTTTTTGATGGAATTAACAGAGTAATGTACTGACAAATTTTGATACTTTTGTCAATGAAAAGTCTCAAACTCTGAAAAATATTTGAAGGAGTTTTATTTTGAGACGGAGTTTCGCTTTTGTTACCCAGGCTGGAGTGCAATGGCACAATCTCGGCTCACAGCAACCTCCGCCTCCTGGGTTCAGGCAGTTCTCCTGCCTCAGCCTCCTGAGTAGCTGGAACTACAGGCACGCGCCACCATGCCCAGCTAATTTTTTGTATTTTTAGTAGAGACGGGGTTTCACCATGTTGACCAGGATGGTCTCGATCTCTTGACCTCGTGATCCATCTGCCTTGGCCTCCCAAAGTGCTGGGATTACAGGCGTGAGTCACTGCGCCCTGCCCTGAAGAGATTTATTCTGCGCCAATGCCAATGACACAGCCCAAGGAGATCCTGGATCCTGGGAACATGTGTCTAAGGTGGTTGGGCTACAGCTTGGTTTTATACATTTTAGGGAGACAGAAGACATTGATCAGTGCGTGTAAGATGTACGTTGGTTTGGTCTAGAAAGTTGGGACAACTTGAAGGGTGGGGGGGCAGTCTTCCAGGTTGTAGGTGGATTCAAAGATTTGGTAACTGGCAGTTGGTTGAGTTTATTTAAATCCCTGGAATCAACAGACTGCATGTCTGGGTTAAGATAGGGGTGTGGAGACCAAGGTTCATATTATGCAGGTGAAACCTCCAAGTCACAGGTTTCTGAGAGAATAGATTGCAAATGTTTCTTTTCAAAAAATTTTGTTATTTTTTAAAGAGATGGGATCTTGCTGTGTTGTCCAGGCTGATCTGGAACTCCTTGGCTCTAGCAGTCGACCTACCTCAGCCTCCCAAAGTGCTGGAATTATAACCTAGACTGTAAATGGTTTTGTTTTTCTTTTTTTTTCTCCAAAATGCAAACATAATTCCCACCCCCCAACAGAGCTTTGCTCTATTACCCAGGCTGGAGTGCAGTGGCATGAACTCAGCTCACTGCAACCTTCACCTCCTGAGTAGCTGGAATTACAGGTGCCCTGCCACCGCATCTGGCTAAGTTTTATATTTTTAGTAGAGATGGGGTTTCACCATGCTTGTCTTGAACTCCTGACCTCGGCCTCCCAAAGTGCTGGGATTACAGGCATGAGCCACTATGCCCAGCTGCAAAGTCTTCATTATTATTATTTTTGAAACAAAGTCTCAGTCTGTCCCCAGGCTGGAGTGCAGTGGCACGATCTTGGCCACTGCAACCTCTGCCTCCTGGGTTCAAGAGATTCCCCTGCCTCAGCCTCCCAAGTAAGTAGCTGGGATTACAGGTGGATGCTACCATGCCTGGCTAATTTTTTTTATTTTAGTAGAGACTGTTTCACCATGTTGGCCAGAATGATCTTTATCTCCTGACCTCATGATTTACCGCCTTGGCCTTCCAGAGTGCTGAGATTACAGGTTTTAGCCACCACTCCTGGCTGCAGTCTTTATTATGAGAAAGCAGTGTTATCTAGGAAAGTCACACGCTGGTTTCTTTCTAATAAAATGACAAAGCAGGTTTCTTAAATAATTTACAAAGGGTAGAAGTTGCTCTTGAACTGGGCTACCCTTCCCGGCACACCCACAGTGCTCTGCCTTGAGCATACAAATATGAGCCCAGGGTCTTAAGCCTGGAACTATATCCTATGCCTTCCTCCGGGTCCCTGGTAGGGAAAGCAGGGATGAGAGTGGTGCCCCCGAGATCCTTGGCACCAGAAACAAGTGGGTGAGTGACTCTGTGGATGACTCCCCAAAAACCAGGCACCTGGGTACACAGTTCACAGCTCTCAAACATCTGATGCTGGTACTTCACATTATAGATGAAGCAAAACCAGGCTCCTGGTCAAATACACGATGAATTTCTAAGCCCAAGAGTTCCCTGGGGGAGTAGAAGGAACAATTCTCCACACCTTTGCAAGGTCTCCCCAAGACAGTCTCACTCAGGCTGTGGCAGGCAGTCACTGATGGGTCCAGATGTGGCAGGAGCAGGGGGGCTCTGGGCCCCTTGCTAGTCAGGTACTTGTTAGCAGTGGCCCAGGGGTACTCATGACTTGTAGGAGCTTCCACCAGGAAGCTAATGGGGAAGCACAGACATTCTTGGGTATGAAGCTTTGGTGGTCAGACAGGGCTTGTTTCCTGCAGGGCACTTCCTCAGTCATGAGTGAGAGTGTCATTTCATCATTTTCTAAAGCCATAATGGCTTCATCCAGCTCTTGGGACAGCTTCTGGAGATGCTGAATTTTGCCCTACCACAGACCTTAGGCCACTATCAGACTCGCTGGTAGAGCAGAGAGGCTCTGTCAAGGAGTAGGGGCTCTGGAAGGCAGCCTCCCGCCTCCACCGCTGTAGTGTTTGGGCACATGAGCCTGTCGGGGCAGAGAGGCTGTGATGCCCGGGGGTCTGTGGCTCTAGACAGCCGGA